CAAGTTGATTGAACTCCAAAAACATATTGTTACCAATAATAATCATCATAATACAGAGAAGATAGAAAAAATTACATTTCTCTATCAGTAATTTATGCTTGGGGACTACTCATTTCCAGGGACTATCAAACTTCAGAAATCACTAGGTTCTTACCTATTTCCATCTATTGGTCCTAGAATTTGCAGATGAATTTTATCAAGTGCAGGACAAAGCAAAAAGCCAAACAATAGCTATATGACTTATGCCCCCATTAAAAAATTTCAGAAACCCAAAAGTGGTAAAATAAAAACTAAATAAATTTTTAAAAAAGCTCTCTTTTTTATGATATCATAGAAAAATGGAAGGAGGAAAAGCCCTACAAAGRTGAAGTAGTCCAGCAGGACCGATTTTGAAACAGGCTACCTGGGGCCTAGTCCAGTCAGATTTTTACAATGTCAAAGGATGAAATCTCACTACCAGCCCAGAGCATTCGTATCCCAGTGCTTAACCACTCATGATTCCTAACCCTCACACCCACACAGTACACACATCTCCCATAAATCACATTCCTTGACCATTCCTTCTTAACAGASGAATGGGAGGAAACCAGCAAGTGATTTTGTTCAACCACTGTCTCAGGTCAGAAAACAGTTGCACAGACCTGCTCTGTTACCCCCTAACCCGAGAGGCAAATGCACTGCTGGGCTGCCTTGGATCTCCAGGGCGAGGACAGGACAAGGACAGAGCAAATCCTGCACTTGCAGCTGGGAACTGCAACACCGCTCTCTTCATTCCCAGCAGGCTGCATGCACGTGTACAATTGACAAACAGAATAATCTTATTTTCTGTTCCTCAGTCTCCTAAAAATTTCCCCAAGAGAACAGAAGTGATGTGATGATCTCAACCACAATCATACAGTAAGTGGTACTCAAGTGACTCTTAAGACATGGACACATAAGCCTTGAGAAGGGCAAGATTACATCTACTCATTTTGGCAATTAGCCACGTGCATTCAATGGCAAYCCTGAAAGAGTGGACGCAGCCCATCAGAAGATTCAACTTTACTTCTCTGGAAAGGAGGAGCAAGAAGTAAGGAATTCTCTTCCAAAGATTTTCTCAACAGAACATTCACACAGCATCAGTGCCAAAGTTTTCCCTAACAAGAAGTGGCAATTTTAGCCCAGGGGTTATGGACTTGCAGTTTAAACACCCTTTTCATCCTCCCACAGAAAATCCAGTGATAGGAGCTCCTAAATCCCGTTTAGTTTCAGTCTGAAAATAAGTCAGTGAAATATTTACTTGGAAGACATGTTTTAATAAAACCATAAATCAACCTACTGTTCAACCCTCCTAAGTTACTGAAGCAGGAAACAGCRTGGTGCTTCCTAAGAATTCGCGTCAGAAGAATATGTCACATTCTGGTGGGTAAGGGGAAAATAGCTGGTGTTGGATGAGATTCCCCTTGTTTTCATGACCTCACACAGAGACATGCATATCATCAGTATGCGCTGTATATGGGCCATTTATAATTTTTCTTTATGCTCAGGCAACAATCCATCAATAGAAAAGGGTTATGAAAAARGTAAATGCTTGGAGAATCCTCAATTGATTTGAAACCAAAAGGCCACTGTGCCATAGGTAGCTATAAGCCAAAACTTTTGCAATAGCATAATACTGAGAACTGTGAGTAGAGAATTAGACAGGCACTACCAGTTAAGGTTCTGAGGCATCCTCTGGTATTTTTCTTCACACATCTTCCTGATCTCCGAGACGTTTCTTTTCAGGCTTCTCTTCTAAGGTTACCTCCAAAAACCTCCCTTTTTTGGCACATCTGCTTTCCACAATGCTTCAAGCCCAATCAAAAGTGCCTAAGAACACAAGAGCAGCCACCTAATTGATGGTTCTGTCATGTCTTTCAATTGAAAATTCAGGTCATAACTTTGGTTTAGTGCAGATATGATTAAATTTATAACCAGACTGTACTGGTAGCAGTCAGCAAGTAGGCAGCCTTTTGTCCTTGAGAGCACAGAAGTTGACACATTTCCTTCCCCACACATATACACCAAGTGATCAGTTGCCTGTTAACTCACAATTTAAGCTTTTCTTTTTACCCAGTGATGAAGAGGTCACATTTCTTGAAGGTGTGCTGTATTCCAGGGCTACTCTGACTATTGCAATACCCATTCTCAAGAGGCTGTTCCCATGGAAAGAAATGGTACCAACCAGCAGCACTGTTCCAGCAGTCACATTTCTGTCTTCTCACCCTGCCTCAGYGCACAGGGATGGAGTTACAGGGAAAGTGCAGTGCAACACCAGCATTGACATCTCTTGTTAACAGGAACAGATCACAACAGCTCTTTCTGTCATGGACTCTTAGGGTCCCCCTTCCCTCCATTCAATTTGCAGTCTCTTCCTTCCATATCTGAAGTTCATGACTAAGTTTTGGCTATGAACAGTGTACAAAATAGGGCTGGGATCAAGTGGGTGGTTCAGATTATTATCAGACAAGGTTTGAAAGGACTATCCTAAAGGATTAAACATAAGACTACTAACACGGATAGATAGTTGAGCAGAATCTGGGGGAAGAATAAAGCAAAATCATCATCTGGACAGAAAGAGGGAAAAGATGGAACCCAGGAMACCAGTGCTGCTGCACTTAATCTTTGTGTCTGCAGATATTATATATCCTCTGTAAGCCATGTCCCACTGGCTGACTTGACAGAAAAARTAATTGTTATTATCCCAGCCACTACTGAGTAGTTACTATTTTCCCTTCCCACAATCTCTCTGCTCTTCTCCAGMAGATATTCATTAAGACTGACCAAGTACCACAGACCTCTGTGATTTTCAATCCCTAGCCCTGCATTGCTATTAGAAACACTTCAGGTTCCCTTTCTCTGTGTTCACACATTCATAATAGTTCCYTCCAAAGACCAATTTTTAAAAATTTTGAATTAAGAGTCAGTTACTGATGCTTCGGACTCCTCTGAGGGTCAACAGAACTCAACGAAAGAAGACAACACACATCCAATGTTTGAGGAAGAAGAAGCCCACATAAGATTTTGAAAGGAATTTAGAAACCACAGGGAGGGCCTAGAAAAAAAAGTTAATGAAAAGTTAAGGTATCCCAAGGAATTAGTTGATCTCCTCTTGAGAATACAATGGGAACTACATCCACCTCCTTTGTTTTCTCCTCATCAAGTGATAAAACCCACTAAAAAARCAACATCCATACTCATTACTCCCTCTAGAAACACATCAACATTTGAGGGCACCATCCACCTTCCAACCTCATTCTGAAGGTGCTCAGCATGAACAATTTAAAGTAGATATTCAAAGTGTACATCMAAGAATAAGACATGGTCAAGTGTTACTTCATCCATGAAGTTTCCCACAAAAAAGTACAGAAGAGTGACTGGTCTCCAAAGTTTATTAAAAATCAAAGAATAGAAAACTTTACATAAAAATATGTCAATTTTAGCTTCCACATAGTTGTCCACACAAAAAATTTAAACATTTTTTAAACCTGTAGCACATAACCACAGTGATAGCCAGGCCAATTCTTTTGGTTCACCATGACTGAAGTGTTACATGATATCACTATTCGAATGARTTTTGCTTTAAAATGGACGCTAATATAAGACACCAATTAGAGCCTCTGAAGGCTCTGTAATGTAGTTATGCTCAATATTGCTAGTGTGTGAAGACTAAGCAGTACAGGCTCATGTAACAGCCCTTAGATATTATTCATGAATCAGCTCACAATTTTTAGAACTCTTTTTTTAATTGTGATGAGTCTGAAGCATTAAGACAAACTTTCTGCAAACAGATATGCACTAGTCTACTTTGGAATGTTGCCCTCTCTCCCCTCAAGGACCTGTTTGTGTCTGACAAATCCAGTACTAACATGAACTACTTCTGCTTCAAAGGCATACAGCGTATGAAAAATCTTCATGCTTGACACCTCATTTCAATATTCAGATATCAGTTTTAAATCCTTCTATATCTGTACACAGTATTGATGTCTTGTTAACAGGATTCTTCAGCTTTCTCTGCTAGTGGACTTACACAACTTACCTGTAGTTTTCTGTATAGCTTAAGAACTCTCACTTAAAAAAAGGGAAGTCAGAGGGCATGAGATGTGACCTACTCCCAGGACAACTGTGGTGCTTTAAAAACTCAGGGTTAGGCAGGATGTACATTTTTCAAAAAGTTAAAGACAGTGTTTGTCATGGCAATACACACTTGCATAGTATACCTGTATGCATCTGTAAATTAAGTGCCAGCCACTCATACTGTGTACAACACTGGGCTGTGCTCTCCTGCAACTCATTAAAAGATACTTCTTGTAATGCTTAGAGCAGCTGAAGTACTTTTTATATATTTGCTCTTAACAGAACTAATGCATACTACTATACAGATTCCTTAATGGAATCAACATATTTCCTTTCTCCACATTCCTTAAGCCGGGTACCTCTGTTTCAACCCAAACATTAACAGGTTATGTTACTGAAATGCATCCAAGCCTGTAGTTCTCAGCTTTGTAATTTCCTATCAGGACTTGAACCAACCTTTTCTCCATTCTTCTCAAAAGTTTTACTTCTGGTACTACAAATGTTGGATTTGTTGTCTAGTTAAAGAAAATTAAAACCCATTGGTCAGAGGAAGACGACTGATAGAGGCCAGACAATGAGCTAAAAAACACAGGGTCAAAATGCTTTGGAGCTTAGTAAATTCTTAAAACTGTAAGCCAAATCGCACTTTCATTGTGAATCAAGAAGCCTCAAATATTACCAAATGTCATGTTTTTAACACTGCTCAGACAACCTGCCAAAACTATGACCCCAACTTAGATAATGCAACCTGGGAAAGGATCTGTAAAATAAAAAAACCTCTTCCCCTTAAATATAACTTATGTGATAATATGAAATTAAATTAAAAATTCCAAGTTATTGCACAAATCATACTTCCAATATTTACAAAGAAAAAAGCTGAGCTTTGGGAAAAAAAAAAAAACCAAAAAAAAACCAAATGGTAGAGCAGCAAAGTTACTTTTATGAATTCCCAACTTGATTTGCTGCAAAGGAAAAAAAACGAAGGGAAAAAAAAAGAGGAATTCCAAGGGGCTGAAGTTTCCTTCACTTCTAAAATAAAAGAAAAGGAACAGATATAGCCACAGCAAAAAAGCTACAGCATTTGTAAATGTCCTTGCAGTTCTATTGTCAGAGCTGCTTCGGCACTGAATGAACCATTGTGGGAAGGCAGAAAACAAACTTCCACATTTAATAAGGCTTCACAGATAAGCACAACTACTTCTTGAAGATGGACTGAACCACCACACAAAGAAACATGCAAAGAAGTCAGCTGCAGATATTTGGCAACACCAGTAAAACGATGTGCTGGACGCTGGTCTCCATCCCTCAAGTCGAGTGGCACTCACTCAGTTTGTCTGAACAGGGAAGGTCATTTTGGCACCTGCCATTATCTGCTCAGACTAATAGGCAAACTGTCTCTGTGTTTTTTCCTTCTCCATATATTACGATTGTACTGGTGATGTCCACGGTTACCAACTGGTTGCCTCATGCCTCCACTGCTGACGGGGCTGTAGCTGCTGCCTTGGTTATGAGCTCCTTTCATGGAAAACTTCATTCCACTGTGCTGCTAAAAAAAAAAAAAAAAGAAATAAGTAAGGTAAGTATTCATTTAGGCATAAAAACAACAAACAAAATACATATTATCAGTTGTATTTCCTCAATATGTAAGTCACTTCCACAAAACACTGCTTGAAGCAACTGGTCTTCTCATGCTTTTTTAATTGTAGCTGCGCAAGTCCCAAGGCACTAACGGTTTACAAAGTGTTTTCTGAAGTAAATGTTCTGCAAATGAAATGGTATAGATTTCAAAGCATCRTTAAAACCCTTGGATCTCAGCATGAAAAACACTCGCAGCACAACTCCCTTATAAAACCAGAAAACTTCCACATTAAACACTAATTGTGACAGATGTGCCTCTTTTGGAGTATCCTAGTATGACCAAGTGAGGTACTTAAATCTTTCAGAAATATCATGAAGAAATACAAGGGCATGATCACATGAGTTGATGCACAAGGAGTACAAGTCTGCTTTTGCCATAACCTCATGTCAGTGACAGGTAAAACTGAGAATGGCTTGTAAATCCTACTGGTCTGACCATCAGGTTACACAGCTCCTAGACAGCATCTCATGAACAGACCAAGGCACAACAATTAAGGGATCAGAAATATACCACAACACTTTCTTTGGAGGATCTCCAGTAACTGAGAACAAAAACTGGCCAAAAAGTTTATTGGCAGCCTGAGTAAACCTACCACACCATAAGGTACTACAAACATTACTCTATCACTTAAAGGCATACAGTAAGTTGGCTTAGTATGTATGTACTTAAAATAGGTCCAAGAGTTCCAGAATATGAAATTGAAAGACTTCCTAAATACTGATAACATGAATGCAAGCAACCTTTCCTGATGACTGCAGCAATAACTCAATAGACAACTGACTGCCTGTAATAAAAGCTAATTCTAACCTTAAGTGGTAAACAGAAACACAGAGCTAACATTTGAGACAACTGCTTACAACACTAAAGCAGGTGCAGATAATTAATATYTTACATTTCCAAACAAGTTTGAAGTAGAAAGAAATRAAAACACCAAGCCACATTACAACTRYGTGCACAAAACAGTTATTGAGAGCCGAATTTCATAAGCAACATTTCACTGTCACACTAACTAAAAGAGACACTGAGCATCCAGAAAGACAAACTGCTGAAGAGTAGTGTTGACAAACAACCACAGTTAACTGCAGGGTGGCAAAAAAACCCTGAAAAGGTTTTTTAATTTGTACAGTGTCCTACAGCAACCTAACCAACTTCTGGCACACTAAATGTTATCCTCATACTACCASTGGCAAAATAATTCAAGGACAAACAGAAAAARGAAATGCAAGCTGAGAATTTTTCATTCTTAACACAATTTCCCAAACATAATTTATTTATGTATGTTGCTAAAACATCTACTAGAAGCTATTTATGAAAGTCAATAACATGAAACTAAAAAAAAATTAGAATGTTTTATATTTTTGGCAAGTGATTCTTCAAGCAAACACACCATCTTGTCACATTCTCATGCAAAGTTTTCTAATTGAGTAAGTACGTATCTGGCTGAACTATATATGTCATTTGAARTTACATCGAAATACTAAAAACGACCCTATAATGGTCAAAACACTAAAAGCAGCTGGTCACCACAGTTACCCTAAACTATATGCTGAAAAAAGACAAGAAAACTTTAGTATTACAACTGAACAAACAGAAAAAAAAGCCTGATTAGTGAGCATACAAACTTCCAAGGAAGCCTATCCATCCACTTCAGCTGAAAATGTGAAAAATTTGGCAACTTGTTCCTCAATATGAGAGAGGGTTCACCAAAATAAAACACTGGGGGACCTGGGCAGGTGACCCCAGGATCAGCACAGCAAGTATGACAATTAAATGCAACTACCTGTATCCTAAAAGATGTCCTACCCCTTGTTTTCTCAAAAGGTAAACTCTTAAACAATGACTAATAACCTAGCCAGAATGTGAACTCTAGCTTGTGATGAAACCTGCATTGTGTTTAGGTCATCAAGATAAAGAATCTCAATTAATTGGAGCAGGATCTGAATCCATCAGCCTTATGACTCATTAACTGAGAGGCGCTTAAGGGAGTTGACTCAGGGACCACTTCAGTCAGAGAWGATACCTTTATATTTACTAGCTCTCAACTAGATTTTGTTCACTAGCTTGTTTGGTTTTTTGAAACCATCATTTAGTATCCTGTATCCTGTGCTATTGCATTTCACAGCTTAAATTAGCAGCAAATTTAATTTGAGCCTACTATGGGATGATCTATCAGCTCTTGGAGTAAATAATTTATTGTCATTCTGCTCTCTTTTTCATATACTGCTCATGACAACACAAACCTAGATATACCTCAATCCTTTTCTTGTCAAGGATTCTTTATTCACATAGAAGCAATTTCATGTGTCAGATCACCATTAACATCTTTCCCTATTCTGCTTCCATTTGTGTTTTGACGTTTCCTCTGATGAGGAAAAGGAGAGGCAAAATTATACTCACTGTTGGTGTTCTGCAAAATCAAGATATCATCTTTACAAGAAACTGTAAGCCCAGGGCCCGCCACTGTCTACAAAATTTGAGTAATTTCTCTCCCTTCTGATTTTAATCACCTTAAAAGGTTCTTCTGCATCTGTTCTCAGGTAGCCCTAAAGGTGCTTCACACCACCAGCAAACTTCACCAGGCATCATCCATTGCTTTTCAGATATTAGCCAGCACAGACTCCTGCTGGGCTCTCCTGGTGAGCTCCATTTTTTACAAAAACYGAATCTTAGTTCCTCATCCTCCAGTAAGTTAAGTATTTAAAAGGGAACAAATATCTTTCACTTAGCTTCTTTCAGGTTCTTTGACAAAAGAAATTTACTTCATGTTTCTGGAAATCTCAAGAGGCTGTATCAAACAGCTTTCTCTGGGGCACAAACTTTTGGACACATGCTCTAGGACTGACACAATCACTGAGAGATAACATGGGTGTAAGCAGATGATGGCCAGAGAGAGATCAGATAACCCAAAAAGGAAGCTCTTCACCTATGAGACAACAGATAAATCTTCMATTTAGAAGTTTCAACTTCTTTGGATCAATTTCTCTAGATARGACAATCTCCTCTCCCATCGTAGAGCTATTGATTCAACAACTAAATGATGGAATTGGYTTGGTTCTTAGCTGTGTTGAGAAAGCTGCTAGATCTGGAGAGGAAACTAAAGAATTCACATTTAAGACAGGCCTGAGGGTGGGG